AACCTCCTCTGGTATTGACATGGCGTGGGTTTCCATGATCCAGCAGCTACATATAAACTTTACATCACCAAGCACAATGCCAAGCGTCGAATGAAGTGATGTAAAGCACACTGCAACTAGACTCTGGAGCAATGGAAATGTATTCTGTGAAGTGACAAATCACGCTTCTCTATCTGGCAGTCAGGGTTTGGCGAATACCAGGGGTACATTGCCTGCCTGACTGCATTGTGCCAACTGTAGAGGAGGGATAATGCTATGGGACTGTTTTTCACGGTTTGGCCTAGACCCCTTAGTTAGGGAAATCATAAAGCTCCAGCATACTAAGACATTTTGGACAATTGTATGCTTCCAATTCTGTGGGAAGAGTTTGGGAAAGACTCTTTTCTGTTCCAGTATGACTGTGCCCCAGTGCACAAAGCAACCTTTATAAAGGCATAGTTGGGTTTGGTGTGGGAGATCTTGACTGGTCCACACAGAGCCCTGACCTCAACCTCATCGAACACCTTTGGGTTGAATTAGAATGGACACTGTGAGCTAGGCCCTCTCGTCCAACATCATTGCCTGACCTCACAAATGCTTGTCTGGATGAATGGGCAAAAATTCCCAGAGACACTCTAAAATCTTCTAGAAAACCTTAGAGAGAGTGGAAGCTGTTATAGATCAAAAAGGGGACCAACTCCATATGAATGCCTAGAGTGGGATGTCATAAAAGCTCCTGTAGGTGTTATATGTTGGTGTCCCAATACTTTTGTTCATTTAGTGTATATGGAATGATAACAGGAGTCAGAGTACATCTGACTCCATTAGAGCACTGTTGTAACAGTGAGACATTTGTCTGACTTCCCTTTGTATTGATTATTTTCATTAACTCACTTAACTCATATTTTGGCCTCTGAATGTCCAATTTGAAGATCCTGTTATCTTCTACATGATTTTAAACTAATAAAAAGTTTATATAGATTAAATTCATAAGCAGCTTAAAAAAATCTGGACGTCTGAAGCATTTAATGCATCTGTCACAGAAAGCTATTACATGAGATGGTTACGAAAATGCTGCCTGATGCCTGAGACATTTTATCATGTTAGTCTGAAAATAAGGTCTTGGCCTAAATTATAATTTTTAAAAGACATTCATGGCAGAGAGATACGAGCAGGGTGTTGTAAGGCAAAACAGTCCCCAAAGAAAACTTTGAGACTCACCGCTGCTGTACCATTATCAAAACTCTATTTGAAGTTCAGAAAACGTGTACGTTTTAAATAGTAAATAAAATGGCTTAATTTATGTTTCGTATATCACAACCCCTGGTTCTTGTCACCACCACAAAATCTGAGTAAAGAAATCTGAGTTGGTCTGAGTTTCTCTGCAACGAATCTCTCCCATCACAACACGGAATTACTTTGTTTACATCTCTACAATTTAATTATGCAGAAATTTTGAAATAGAATTCCTGTTTAAAAGGACACAATCTACGGATGGCAACACTATATCACTGACATACACTGACCTGTATATAACATTAGTTTCATGATATTTTATCACATGTACAGGCTATCACCCATTGTAACAACAACTCAAACTTTGTTGAGCTTTTACACCCATGGTTACTTTCTTCCAAAGAGTGAGGCAGCACTTTATAATCCCTTTCGCAATGCTTTGATAGCTTTGCTTGGGGTGAGGTTTTATTTCTCCTCCACAGACCTAGTGCACCAGCTTACTTGTTTCAAGCTCTTACGAGGTCCTGGCAGGCCAAAAGTGTCAAAGTATGCATGGAAAATATCTAGTGTAAGAGCATTTAGGGTCTAATTCATAGCACTGTCATAATAGTGTTCTAATATGGAAAAAGATTAGCGCTAAATGCTTCTGATGTTTTCCAAGCAATGAGATGAAAGTAACAGGAAGTGATGTTTTAAACGCATGTTATGTGCATCAGAGAGTTTGAAGCACCCTCCTGATTCTCCACTTTGATCCCCCCATCCCCCCATGCCTGGCCCTTCTGGTTGCTAATACAGAGAAATAATTTTAGGTTGCAGAGGGGAAATGTACTGAAAGAAGATTTTGTTGTGGAAAAAGGTTGTCTGACTTGTAACAGTAGCAGAACTCTTTTTGGTGCTATGTAGAACCAAAATGTAGAAGATTCTTTAAAGAACCATTTAAAGCAGGTTGTATGTACACAAAAGGGCTGAAGTAAGTGAACAGCCATCCTAATTATTGAGTTCAGGTGTTTCAGCTACAAACATTGCTAAGAGGTATGTTAAATCAAGCATATAGCAATGCAATCTCCATAGACAAACATTGCAACATTGTTTTCACAAGTTAGTTCATGAATTTTTTGCCCTGTTAGATCTAACCCAGTCAGCTATAAGTGCTATTATTGTGAAATGGAAGTATCTAGGAGTAACAACAGCTCAGCCACGAAGCAGTGGACTGCGCAAACTCACGAAGCACATAGAGCATAAAAAATTGCCTATCCTCTGTTGCGTTGCTCACAGAGCTCCAAAATGCCCCTGGAAGCATCCTCAGCGCAGGAACTGTTCATCAGGAGCTTCATGAAATGGGTTTCCATGGTTGAGCAACACACAAGTCTAAGATCACCATGTGCAATGCCAAGCATTGGCTGGAATGGTGAAACACATGCCGTTACTGGAGCTTTTTAGACAACTATATGCTTCCAGCTTTGTGCCAGTAGTTTGGGGAAGGTTCTCTCCTGTTTCAGCATGACTGTGTCCTTGCACACAAAGCGAGCTCCATAAAGGCATAGCTTGAGTTTTGTGTGAAGGAACTCCAGTGGCCTGCACAGAGCCCTGACCTCAACCTCACTGAACACCTTTGGGGTGAATTGAAATGTGTGAACCACACCTTCTAATCCCACATCATTGCCTGATGGCAAATGGTCTTTTGACTGAATGGGTACAAATTCCCACTCCAAAATCTTGTAAAAAATTAAGCTCATACAGGTATGATGGTGTCCACATACTTTTGGCCATCTGGTGTTTCTTTAATAACCACATTTTCTTATTTCTTTATATTAATATAACATTTACTATGGTGTTACATGATAATGTAGACTACTTCATAAAATGACTGCAATAATAATCATTGATGTAATAGACAGTAGAACAGCCAATGACATCTGAAAACCCTGTAGGGGCAACTGTTGCATAATTAGAATGGCACACAGGAAAAAGAACCATTTAAGCATACAAATGGTCTAAATTGCCATGTATGTTTATTTAACCTTTGTCTTCAATAAAGAAAGCTGTAGCTTAGAGACCTGTAGCTTAAGCTTAAAGATGCTCAAACCATCTTTTTTGATTGCACCACAAATCCTTAGTAACAACTAACAGTAACACTGTAAGACAGTGTTCATAAGGCCACATGACACCTACATAAGCCTGTGACAACTGACATACATCTGCATCAACATTTATAAACACTTTTTCTAATGTTTGTCATTTGTAATCATGGCTGCATTTGCCAACTCCAGTGTCGAGCTGACATGACATCTGTCATGTATGTGACATTAGGCTGCGTCACAACACTTTCTGGGATGAAATGACACAAATTTTGTAGCTCAGCGACATAAGGCTGATAATTTGACACAGCTTGCCATGTCAAGCTGGTTGAGCAAAAGTGAGCATTTTCTGTGGCCCTTAGGTAAATGAGTTTTATTTTACTCTTTATAAGACTAAAGCTGTTACATCATTGGTAGTATGTCACAGTGATATACCGACTTTATCATCTGACTTTAACATGTTGATAGCATTCAAAATCTATAAACCCACTATAATAACCCACTAGAATCTATAAATCTGAAACACAATGACTGACTTTTTGCAAGTTTATATTTACAATTTAACTTAAACTAAAACTGAATAACTGTAGCCATTTTTTGTTTATTTTTTATTATTTACTTGTCACAACCAAATGTGCATTTTTTTTTTGTATGGGCATCTCAGCACCTCCTGCATCTCCTTGAACTGAAGCAATTGATGTAAACTTTATGTTTGAAGGTAAAAAAAGAGGGTCGTAATTAGAGCTATAAGCCACAGCTATGTAGAATTTAGTTTTTTTAGTACAATTTAACCAAAAAAGTCAGGTCATTTTTTTATCTTTTTTGTGCCATCTATCATGTTTCCATTGGTTTAACCAACACTTACACCTGCATAAGGGAGGTGAAAATATTTAGTAGCTACTAAAGCTGCATTGAACTGAAGCTCTTATCTTTGAATTTTTCACCTCCAACCAGGAAAATCAAAGAAAACATCCCAGCTCCTACTTGGAAAGTCGGAATGGTTTTCTCAACTCCGAGCTGAGTATATGGTGTTAGATCAACATGATTGCTCACAAAGTCAATGATAATAAATAATGACTTCTCTACTTTTAAATAAAATTTGCCTTAGGTCAGTCAACATACAGACACCATAGCTGGTTAAACCATATCATTGACTATAAAGTTCAGTGTTTTGAAATGGTAAATCATGAAAGTTAAAGTTATCACTCATATCATTAATGTTAGCTGGCTAGCACATTGGTAAGAATGTTTGCTTTACTTTCATGTTTTTCCCACTTTGTAGCTCAAATATGTGGAGACTGAAAATGACGAAGTTCCAGTCTCTGAGTTGAGTAATATGAGGTCAGCTCTTGCTTGGCTGGAATAAAAACCTGCAACCACACCGGCCCTTTCTGGATAGGATTGGTGACTGGTGCAGTCAACAATCAGGCACAGTAAAGCAGTCTCATGTGGTGTAGGAAGCGGACCAACCTGAAAATGTGATTTGATTTTTGGAATTACACTGCTGCATCAACTTCTGAAAAGACTCAACAAGATTACAGCGGCTTTCTATATTGAATTCAGAGCTGTTTTTACATTGAACGTTCATACTACTTTTAACTACATATCGATCGTCTGAGGTATCCATCTGTTAAATGCCGAGAAAAACATTTCCAAGTTTCTTACTGTTCTTTGTGTTCTTTTGCTATGAATAATTACACGCATTGAAACTTTTTATGCCTTTTTTATTGAAAAGGGAATTGTTAAAACAACAAAGAGGTCTTTAAAGCCATATAAATGTAATTAATGGAGCAAGCCTTTGCTTAGACAGACAAAAAAATCTGATTGAGAACAGTCCCACATCTCCAATTATAGAGCTATATAAGTTGGTGAAATATAACACTACAATCTATGTACAAGGCACTTCAGAACAGCCTTAAAGAACTGCTTTTTAAAGGTTGACTACCAAAGTTCCATTAAGAAGTCTAGCATTTTATATAGGCCTGTCCACTGAGTTTTATGCATTTATAAAAAGCCAAATTACAGTGCCAGTACTATAATTATGCCAGTAACACAAGCTGAAATGATACACATGCAAAGTCCTATAAATAAATGTAGATCTATATTACCTATACAGGTTTATTACAATGCCTCTCATCCATGATAGATTAGAAGATAAACTGAACAAGGGCCCAAAGGATGGTGGAAGCCATGCAGACTGCTAATTTATAGAGCAGTCTACCAAAACCAATAACTGATTTCTCAATTGAAGAGCAGTAAAGAGGCATTAGGCTTTATACTTCCACTCTTTAGCACCAAATTCATGGAAAGCAGCATTTCCTTGAATGTTTATTGTACAAATGAATATAGTATACTGAATAAAAGATCACTGAGATAAGACAATATGGTGAACACAGCCTGTATAATACATTGTAAGTTGTGGGGATGGGTGAGAATTCTTTCTATTAACTATGCCATCTAGTGCAACTGCACTGGTTATATACCAAAGATAGCAACCCATAGCTCAGCTTAACCCACATGAGCACTATGTCATACGTCATACTCTCAGATCTAGGTCTTTCACTTTACAAATCTAGTGCAGTCACATGGATACAGTCATCATTTTTCTATATTCAAATTTTCAAAGCATCATGGACATAGCAAAATGATGACTCCAGTATCATGAAGGGGAACAAACTGAGAAATCCGTTATTGAATTGTAAGTCAAGTACATCATTACAGCTTTATAAGACAATGATGTAATTTCAACAGTACTGTGCTGTAAAGATTTGGAAATGCAAATGACTACTACATGATGGGGCTCAATGCATCTCCCCACAGCACAGACTGATGTACAGTCATGTGCAAAAGTGTGGGTGCCTCTTTACATGTTGATTTTCTAAGTGAAAATAAGTTAACTCATTCTCTACAGAGAACACGCTTCTGCATGCTTTTAATGCACAATACTGTTTATTTGCTGAATTTAAAATATTGAGGAAAAAAACATAAAATGTGGCCTGTGCAAAAGCTATACATTTTATATTTCATGTTTTTATTTTTTACAATATGGTAAACTTAGCAAATAAATAGAAATTGTGCACAAAAATTTGCAGAACCTGCCTTTATTTAAATTTTTTCCCTGTAGAGGATGTTTTACCATGTTTTCATGTAGATCAAGAAAACAAACATGTAATTTGACCAAGGGCAATTTAAACTTTTGTATACAACTGTACTTTGGCCCTTTGCTCACTTAGACTCTGCCCAGCATGCGTGCAATCCACCAGTTACAGGGCATGACAATCTGACAGATGACCCTGCCACCCTGGTAATAGTACGGGTATGGCCAGTAGCCCATCAGGGGCTCGTGGTAGCGGCGGCAGAAGCGGTAGCCGCGGCGACAGTACTGGCAGCAGTAGCCTTGATCGTCCAGGGTGCTGTCCAGCTGTAACCCATTTTCAGTCTGTGAAGGACATGGGGTAAAAGGGTCAACAAAGAGAGGCAAACAAAAAAACCCAATCATGCTCTCTAATAAAGCTGTGACACATGACTGACAGATTGATTTTAGTAAAGAAAAAGAAACTGCTTTGAAGAGAAATGGAAGGGAAGTGGTTACTGGGTGGTTAGAACACATGATGACAAAACCCCTGAAATATGCAGAGATTTCACCGTGATCAGAATAGCATTTAAAGTAGATGACCTCCCAGTGAAGAGTTGGAGTATGAAGTGTGATATAATACCCTTGACCTTTACATTATGACAAAGGTGGAATCACGCTACTGCTGTGCCTCTGATCCATAAGGCCCTTTCTGGTTACTACCTGCTCATTCTCAACCAGAGGGAGTTTGACACTGCCAGCCACTCAGATAATTACACTATTTCTTTCATCTCTACCCTCCCACTCCTGCAGGCCCAATCCGGGTATGCCAGGCTGAGTGCAAGCACCTTGTCATTTGAGTATATAAATGAGAGCAACCTCCCACCACACACACAACCTAGCCCCCTGCCTTGACCTTGGCTGAAAGTAGATGGCACATTCCTAAAGCAATTAGCAAAGTAATGATCGCCTAACAAGGATACGTTTATTTGCTCTCCTGGGCAGGATGTGAATTTGTAGAAGAGGCTAAATGAAAGCTGGGCAAAAGGTAAATTGGGTAGAATTAATGGCCCTTGGCCTTCTCCATTGTGATGGCGAGCGCATGCCCTCTCCAGATTACCTAGGGCTGAGTGCCATGCCTTTGATCAGGCAGCTGCACCGAGATGGATTCGGAGAAGTGCCACTTAACTCTATCGCACTCGCCTAACTGTAAGAGCAGATAGCACCCTCGACTCGACACTGTTTCGTCTGACTGCATTTCAATCTCTGGCAGCCGAGGGCTCCTCTGAGACAGAGTGACGCTATTTCTCTGATTAAAAACTGCTGTTGTACAGCCAATAACAGCCATTGATCTATGAGGGATGCGCAGATGAGGCATCCAGCATAATGCAAATGATGCAAATGAGTGCGAGGGAGTGAGATGGTTATGAGAAGATTGTCTCGCCTGAAAGGAAATTAAGGATAATCATACACCTATAGTAAACAATAAAAGGAGGAATACATAGAAACAAAGTGCAACATCTGTCTGCTTTTCAGGATATGTTAACAACATGGATGGATAATGTATCGTTTCTTAATCGTTATTGCGACTTTGCAGTACTGATATCTCAGATGGCTGCAATTTACAAATGAGTCCTATCCTGATGAATACCAGTTCCAGATGATACTTCTGTTTGTATTTTGATGAATCAAGACATTACAACATCCAACAAAAGTTAATTTTCTTGGTCAAAATCTAATCTACTTATTCTGCTACACACTTTACCTTTAACATGTATGTATATTAAATTCAACTGGTTGTTCTTTGTAAGCCTGGATGTTTTGTTTATCTTTTCAAGATTTTGGTTGAGGTAACAAAGAGCACCCAATCTAACTGGGCCTTAAATGTGTTAGAGACAGAAAAGTGGAATGTGTTTGTTTTGGCAATCACACATTGTTCCCTTTCTCTTCATAGCTTGTTTATGAATGTGACAACAGGGAGGTCATTTTTAAAATGAGCCAGAAGCTAAGGTGACAAATATCAGAGCGACTCTCATTAAACAATCGCAGCCACTTAACTATGATCTCTGACTGCCATTTTTAGCATAAAAATCCTAATCCATCCACTTTGATATCATAACTAGGCCTACTCTAATCATATGCAGAAGAGCAGTTCTCCAAACAATAACCTCATTCTTCCATTAGCAGGACCCAGAAGTACAACACTTCTTGTTGGAATATCATGCAGCCTTGTATTTATAGCACACAGCCCTGGTAAAAGGTAACTGGTGACATGTCCCACTGTTTTCACGTACTATAGAGTCGTTATGATTCACATCACGTTTGAATCTTTCAGAGCCCACTAAACTATGATGAATGGACTGAAAATTACATCTTGCTAATGATAGGGACTACAGTAAGAGAAAGCAGGACGATGCCTATCCTGTTTGATTTATTACTCTGACAAATGCATGTAGGCAATTACTGATTCATAATGTTTGTCAGGTTTGGGGTCTTCAGTGTTGAGCAAGAATTCATTATGGGTTGAGCACAAAGGCTGTCAGGGCGCTAGTGATTATTTTATCAGGTCCGTGCAGAAAGCCCCCGGCTGCATGAAAGCTCTACGTTTTCTGAAAATAAGAGGAGTACATATTTCGGGTAAATGAAATGTGATTAGACAGTGCAGACAAAGAATTGTATTGTTCCTTAGAGGCAAATTAATCAAAGTGATCTCATGAAACTGTTTAAAAAACACAAACTGATCACTTCATGTTTGAAACTTCACATAGATGTAGATGGCACTGACGAGAAATGCTGAAGGAAAATGTCTGTGACTTTGTACCAAACAAAGCCCGTTTTGCTACTAGTGCAGCATTTACCTTTTTTGTGCCACACATTTATCACGGTTCTTTTACATTTGTTAAAATCCAGACAGGAGTAATGCCATTTAAAGCCCTCATGAAAGGCCCCATAAAACCAACTTTCCCTCACTCTTTTGCAATAAAGGAGATTGAAGTAATACATAAACATTGTAAAACATTCAAATCATACCATTCACTACACAGTCAATATGGTCCTTATAAGGAAACTATGCTGAAAAAACAGCCCGTTTTGAATATATTGTTTCTGTGATGTCACTAGAACTAACACATTTACGTACACAGTGCTTTGAAAAAGCGTTTGCCCCTCATCCAATGTCTTCTATTTTTTCTAATTTGTCAGATTTAAATATTCCAGCTTTTCCAACTACTTTTAATATGTGATAAAGACAATACAAGTAAACACAAAATTCAGCTTTTAAATGATCATTCCATTTACTGAAGATAAAGATTTATTCTAAACCTATTTTGCTGTAATAGCTAGACCTGCCGGAGTCTCTACTGCACTCTGTTAACACTGTAAACTGTGATCAGTCACTCTTTACAGAACTAGCGTGTGCTTTCTTTGCCGATTTGAACAACTGCCCATCCTGTGCGATCTGATGCCAGCCTTTGACCACCATGGAGCTTCTCGCTGTACAACGCTTTGCAAACCTTGCCTGCATGAGCTGACCTTTCTGATGATGCTGCTGCTGCTGCACAGACTCGAACTATTTAATCATAACCATTACTTCACCTGTTTTTCCCTATTTTGTACTAACGTTGTTTACTATCCGGTGTTGACCAGAAGAAGATGGGTTTCCCTTTTGAGTCTTTGGTCTTTGGTTTTCCTTGTCACCATTGGCTTGCTCATGGGGGCATGGACCTGGATTTTTCTGTAGAGCTGCTTTGTGACAATGCCTGTTGTAAAAAATGCTAAATAAATAAATTTTGACTTGACTTGACTTTGACTATGTGAACCCATTGCCCACTGGAGTAGTCAAGTCAGGACTTTGACTTGGCCACTCCAAAACCTTAATTCTGTTTCTTTTCTTTTTCATTCTCCTTTGGGATTTTCTGATTGAGAGCAGAATTCATGGTTCCTTCTATTATGACAAGTCCTCCAGGTCCAGCAGAAGCAAAGCAGCCACAGCCCATCCCACTACCACCACTATGTTTTACTGTTGGTATGATGTTCTTATGGTGGAATGCAGTGTTAGCTTTACACCAGATGTAACGGGACCTATGTCTTCCAAAAAAGTTCCACCTTTGACTCATCAGTCCACAGAATATTATCCCAAATGTCTTGGAGGTCATCTAGATGTTTTTTGGCAAATATGAGACAAGACTTTGTGTTCTTTTTTGGTCAGCAGTGGTTTGCACCTTGCAACTCTCCCATGGATGCCATTTTTGCCTAGTGTCTTTCTTATTTTGGGACTGTGTATATTGACCTTAACTGAGGCAAGTGAGGCCTGCAGTTCTTTCGATGTTTGTCTGGGTTCTTTTCTGACCTCCTGGATGAGTCGTCAATGCGCTCTTGGTGAAATTTTGGTATGCCGGCCACTCCGGGGAAGCTTCACCACTGTTCCAAGTTTTCTCCATTTGTGGATAATGGCTCTCACTGTTGTTTGCTGGAGTCCCAGAACCTTATCAATGGCTTTGTAACCATTTCTAGATTTTAAAGACTTTGTTTCGCATCTGTATTTGTAGCTCTTTAGAATGTGGCATTGTGTGCTGTTTTTGGAGACCTTCTAGCTTGCTACATATTGCCAGAGTGATGTTTAGATTCAACAGATCTGGCAATAATCATGCCTAAGTGTGGCTAGTAAGACTGAACCCAATAGTCAATTGAATTTGGTTAACTGCGTGATTTAGTAGCTAAGGGGCAAATACTTTTTCACATAGGGCAAGGTACAGCTGAACATAATTTTTTCTTCAATAAATGAAATTATCATTCAAAAAGAGCATTTTGTGTTTACCTGGGTTATCTTTGTCTAATTTTAAAAATATTTTGATCTGAAACATTTGTGACAAATATGCAAAAATAGAAGAAATGTGGAAAAAATACTTTTTCACACCACAGTATCTATCTACTGCAGTTAAGCTCTGCCCTTTCACACTTTTCAAAAGTGCTTCAGCTCTGAAGGCATTTTGGATGAGGCACAATACAGGACATGCACATTTATAAATATTTGTCTTAAAAGCACAGCAAAAAAACAGGCTATTTAAAGAGATAAAAAGAAATTAATGTAAAAATCAATTATATAAACTCACATGAATTTTAAAAGTAGACCTTTAAGGTTAAAAAATAAAAACAAGAAAAATGCAGGATATGTTCCCTTTGAAGTGAGTGTAACAATTAGTTGGTCATTTATTATAATACGGCATAATGTCTTGTCATTTTTTGAATTGGCACACATCAGAGATTCATTACACAGACACATACTGTTAAACCGGTGAATATTAAACATGTCTTATGCCTCATTATCTTACGTCAGGACTAATCAAGATGTCAAACACATGCTCCTCTCTTGTCGATGCTCACTGAATCACATATGCTTTCATCCGTGAAATGATCAGTTCTTTGTGGATGGATCTTTGTGCAGACGTGGAAGGAACTCCACGTTATCTAAAGTTGCTTCACTGTTTGGTTAAGTGCTCTTCAATGGCTCCTTGACAAAAGCAGTGTATGTGAGTACCTATCAGCCTAATCCTGCCTGATACTTAGGCAGTAGTGTTTAATCAGTGATGTGCAAACCAGAGCGGCTCGAGATGGGACATGGGGTCACAATGTGTCCCATCAGCAACTGCAGCGAATGCTATCAGAAGAACGCTTACGAGTCTGACGGCCAACTGGACTCTGGCCCAATCATTAGAGAGCTTATCCTCAGAATGTAGGTCAAGGACCATGATGCAATTTCTCAGCACCGCTGGATGATGGTTATCCAGTTTGAAAGATATCCAGGACCGTGCTGGCGCGCAGTGCATCAGCATGGCAGCGGTGGGGAAAGGTCAGCCTCGTATATCTCAGGCCTTCTGTCACAGGAACTTTGATGATTATTTATAAAATGTCCGTGATGGGTATGGGCCTATTGAATGAGAAAAACATCACCACCCACTTCCCCAACCCCCCCGCTGCAGCCTGAAGGCCAGTGGTGCAGCGAAAGAAGGGTAGAAGCCTATGCTACACTGAAAGGTCTAGAATATCTGGCTTCCTACCGGTATCGACATGACTCCAGACTCCAATTACCAGGAGCCACATCCCCTCTGACGCGCACAAAGGCCTTTGTTATCACTCGGCCCACAAACACAACCTGCCTGCGTCTGGCCTTAGAATTGGCTGGACTGGTATGTATTACCCAGTTGATAGAAGCAGAGGTATTTCAAAAGACGAAGTGGGTTTCATCTCTGGGTTTGCTTTAATTATGCGAAACATTGAGGCACTGGCAATTGGACGAGGCAAGCAGGCAAAGCATTCCTGGGCCTCTACAGATAAATGTGCCTGTTTTTTTCTGAGGTTCTTTCTTGTCATACTCGTTCTTGTGCCTCGTCTCAGCATAGGAGTTAGACTGCGGTTATGGGGGTGTTGTTAGGTGTGTGATGTGTAGGAGGCTTTAGAAGCGTTTATGAATATACCATAGCTATAGAAGCTAAGGTTATTTAATGACTGAGCATCATCTTCCCTTTTAAGGGGATAAAAATCCACTGTTTTGCTGCTCAGTTCTTCTTGCCTTGATAATTAAAGCATGGTTAATAAATTTATCTGTTCATTAATGAGTGACCTTGGGAGGCTCTCTTTGTACATCTCTCACCACATTAGTGAAAAAAAGAAGAAGCGAGAAAGGTTCTTGCAAGGGCTTTAGGGAACTCCACTGCCTTTGAAGGCTAAATATCCCTCTCCATTAAGTGCCAGACACTAAGGGAGTCTTAAGTGAACTGGCCTGATTTAAGCAGATATATAGAGCAATTCCAATGCCCTGTGGTCCACACAGTCTGTTTTGAGTTGGAATAGGGGGCTCCAATTAATGAACGATTTATATGAAGAAAAAAAGAATCATGAATATCCAGTTCAGTGGTCTGGGCACGTCTCCTCCTACAGCGCCTCAAGCCTCGTACTTACATAGTCATTTACTGGCAATTGGTCCATGACGTCCCTGGCCTGACGTGCTCCCCTAGCCTGTGCGTCTGGGGTGTGGTGCGTATCCTCCACATCCTCCACATCATGGAACTCAGCATCTGGAGCACAGCGGGAAACAGGCAGGAGACAGGGATGTGAGTCTAAAATTGGCATAAGCTACTATGCAGCTAGTAAACATACATGGTGCCTCATGGAAATATTGCTTCTTGCTTTCCTCAAGTACTGCTTCAATTCCCTGGTTTAACATCACTCTTCTGTAGTATCCTTATGAGGAAAACTTAGCAGTGATAGTAGGTTAGTAGATCACCCACATCAACTGGAGATAAGCATATTCAGGCCTTCATAAACATTTTCCAAGTGTCTGCTAAATAGGTCAATCTACTGCTTTCATCTGAACTAATGAACTATATTAAAACACTGAATATTAAAACAAACTAAGATGATGAGACCTTTGAAGAACTTCCTCATTCCACTGTGCATGATAAACATAGCTATAGCTTTTTTGTTTCTATTGGATTGGACTGGAGCATAAAGTCATACGGTGGCAAGAGACAACATGAAGGAAAGCAAGATGACGGCATCTGCCTCAAGCTTCTGTTCACTTGTCAAGTTCACTTGGGACTACTGCGTATGATATGGGTGCCCCTTTATTTGGATAGTGCCCTATCTGCAGATGTTCAAATTGTTAATGTTCAGTTGACTCTTCTCAGTTCATTCTGGGTTAAAATTAGCACCATTGTTAGGACAGCAGTGAGAAACTGGGTTCCTTCGAGGCCACAGCTTTACAGAAAGTAGCATTTTTCCTGCTTTAACTCTCCAAAATCAACTAATGACAACCTATTAATTACCTGATGAGTGGCCCTGGAGGAACACAGTTTGACAACCCTGGGCAAGGATGATGTTTTTGTTTGAGTTTGAGAAAAATGTAACCGTTGCTACATCTATTGTAATCATGCTTATTCATTTCTTACAGTGGTGATACAGTGGTCTCTGAATTAAGATTTCCTAGTTTGAGGATCACGAAAAAATACTTTCGATTATGTAGTAAATTTGTGCTTTGGAGTGGGCTGTTTGAAACTTTCACTAGCTGGCTAATTCTTTAACTAAATTATACTTTCCTAACAAAGAAAATGTTTGAGGACCAACTGAGGCTAGTGCTATATCAACAAGGCAAGCTAGCATCACAGGTGCATTTACTAAATTGCAGACTGTAGTGGTTTGCAGTCAGGATTTGTTGAGTGCCGTAAGGATTTTCAGTGGTTGTGTGATCTATCTCCCTAATGCATGCTGGGTACTGTAGTAAGAGAACACTGATGGATGAAAATAATACAAAATTGTGATTTGCGAGTTCAGACCGTGCCTTCCTCATATGGTGGAAATATGAGGGAAGACTATGATTAAGGGAGAGGAGAGAACTCTGGGAACTTGGGCCAGAGCTCTAGGCAGCTTCTGTCTGGACCCCCCTTTTTAACTGTGGTGTGACTGATGGGACTGAGGAACAGGGAGGAGATGAAGTGGTGGAGGGGACTGTGAAAACTATGTCTCAGGAAACAGAAGGTAAAGGGTGGGAATTTATAGGGCATTAGACTGGTCCTCCTCCCAAAATTCAGTTATAACAAGCCAGTAAGGCCATAACAAAGTAAACGTTAGTTTTAGGCTGGAATGCCTCTTTAAGGTTAGGGACAGAGAAAGTATGGCTAGGGATAAAGTTAGATGTTGGATATGGTTGGTTATGGTTAGGATTAGAATGAGTGTTAAATTTAGGGGTAGAGTGCTGACCAAAACTTAATGTGATGTTCATACATATTTAATTGAATGTAAATTAGTAACAGCATACAAAGCTACAAAGCATTCACAATGGACCATACAAATGAAGTTGTGATACATGTAGAAAGATCCTCTACCTTGATATAAAAGATGCACTGGACATGAAGTTAGCTAGCTCCAGAGCAATACCTAGAACAGGTACCTGTAAGAGAAGATGGGTGGATCCAGTGGATGGGCAGATCCTGACAGATTTCCCAGATCTTGGAGTTGATCAGGAATGCTCTGTTGGTGATGGGCTGCTCAGCAGGGATCCACACATGAGAGTCCACCACCTGCATGTCCACCTCCCCAGTCTCACCCACCTGTAGACAGGACATACATAACACTCAGTCTCAGCCTCTACAATCCTGGTCTGCACACAGCTGTGGACTGTGCTTCACTCCTTTACCCTGCACCATTTACGTCCACCGGGAGGGAAAAAGACTAACGGCCAGCCATTGCTGCAACATACCATTTGACCTCTCTCTCAGACTATAGCCGTTCTCCACATTTTTTAAGACTCTTTCTATCCTTGTCCCTTTCTGGTGGTGTTCAATTTTAATTGTAAAGGCAACTGGAGGGGAAAAAGGCTGACTTTAAAATGACTTTAACTGTGTTCTGTTCACGCAGAGAGGACTGATGTATTGTGTAGTTCTACTGACAAAGTAGAGTAGCCTATTGCATGGTCCTTCTGCCCCCTTCCTCCTCCCCCACTATACACTATTAACATGTTTAATTTGTTCATACTGTAGTTCATGAGCTGTAAAGTAAACTATTATCGCTTAATGATAGGGAAGCCATGTCATTTCTGTCTAATAGAGATATATCAAGTACTTTGGCTAATGTAGTCTCATGAAATATTTGTTTGTTTTAGCCTGAGCATATGTAAATACAAATACAAAACAAACTCTCCTCCCATTCTCTTGTTAATTAGCAGAGAGAACAGAGGAAAGGCTCACTTGACAAATGTTTTTACAAGGTGATTTTCTCCCAGTCTAAAGCTTAATTGCACATTAGTTAAGCTTGATGTAGAATCCTGGGGCTATAGCTCGAGCTACTATCATTTATATTAGGTCGCATTCCCCTTTTCTCAGTTCTCTTTTTCATCATGCTGCTTGTGCTTTATTAGAAGTCATTTTCAGCACCCTGTCTTGTTTGTTGTTAAGTGACACCGCACTGACCTGTGGCGAGGTAGAATCCACACCAGTTCCGCCTGATTAAAAGCAGCACCCACTCTGCTTCTCCCTTTGACACAGTTTTCTGACTCTTAACACCCCCCACCCCCACCCCGCCAACATCACGCTAAACTAATGATGACTTGGAGGACAGCCCGTGCCAGCGTTGCAAAGGCTGCTGTTTTAAGCTGAAATTAAAACCAGGGCCGCCAGCGCACACAGCCCCCTTTTTAATTGGCCCTCTTAACTGCTCAAGCAAAGCACGCCTCCCTCACAAGTAAATAGAGGTTAGGCCACTGATCCTGCAACAGGACTTTTACTGCATATTTGAGAAATTACACCAATAAACTCAAGGGGAGAGTTTCTCCAGGGACTTACAAAGGTCATCGCAGAAGCAAAGAGGAGTAATAAACATTCTGGTCCACATGTAGTCAGAATGCATGATGACCGCACCCTGATTGTGAATGTTAGTGCTCAGTGATCATTTGTTTCACTCTTTTATTGATTGAGAAAGTTCCACGTAGAGAAAGAGGTTACTGTAGGAGAAAAGCACTGTGCCTCAAGCTCTCTGATCGTGATTCATGATATTCCACTTTATGTCACTAGATCACATATCCATCATATACTGAGTTGCCAGTTTATACAATTTACTGCAGGTGCACATGTAATAGGTTTACAATTACTGACTGTAGCCCATCTATTGTAGCCTCCCTCTACTATGTCCATCAACGGAAAGGGACCGCTGTTGGACCACCACTGACCAGATATTATTTGGGTAGAGAACCATTCTCAGCACAGTGATACTGGCATGGTAGTGGTATGGTAGTGTGCGTTGTAGTGTTACCCATAAATTAGGTGCAGCAGTATTGCTGACAAATTGTGCATACCAACAGATGGGCTACAGTTAGTACCTACAAAGCAGGCTTCAGTACTGTAAGGAACAAAAATGAAACCAAAAACATAATTGTGCCAGAACAGAAATCATGTTTTTTACCTCTCAGCTCTAATAGCTGTGCAAATCTACTAGTTCTAGTTGTATATATTAGGTCTACATATGGCCTATGTACAGGAAACAGAATTAACCAGCTTTTAATTTTGTCTTAACTGGTTTAAGAACATAATAGAGCTGGAACGCATTAAGTTTTTTTTAAACCTCATTTCTGAACCGTGCTACCTGTGTACCTGAATAGATAGCCAATGAGTACAGGTACAAGATGGGTGTACCTAATGGCAATTCAGTGTATAACCATATAAATAACCTCAAAAATAATCAGTATATTCCATATACCACACTAGTTCTAGAGATGCATTTAAATTTTTCCACTTCCAATGATTATTCTAGGTCTACATAAAGACCATGACAATTTCTTATGCATGCTACAGAATGAATTGTGTAACCCCCCTCCTTCCCTCCCCTGTTGCAATTCATGGTCCTACATACAGTATAAACTACCTAATAAAGAGAAAACTAGCAAGAAATGGATAGGAAAGGAAACTTATCCTGAGACACTGGCCTCTGCTGGAAAGAGGGCTGCGATTTCATCGGCTGTGTTTAGGCGGTGGGCAACTGGAGGGAAGCACAAGGATTACCTCTTTCATCATTTTCTTGGCTGAATAAATTGGAAATTGTAAAAATACTGGCAGCAAACCATTCATGTTTGTCACCTGGATGCACTCAGGGGCCGCTTTATTTCCTTATCAGCCGTATGCAGTTTCTCCTCAGCCTGCATTGTTTTGCAGCGAGCTGCAATGAGGCAGTGTGGTCGCAGAGCACTCTCGCATGCCCTGCGGCCAGCCTGCACTCGGAGCTAATAAGGCTGGAGTTAACCCATACCTGCTGCTTTACTTGTTCACTACCTTTCTCACTCTCTCTCATGCTCTGTCTACCTCTCTGTCCCTTCCTCTCTTTCTCTCTCTCCCATTCTTTTTCTTCCTGGTAACACTTGGCAGCTGATTCCTCCACATCACTGCCAAGTTTATTTTAGCGCTCGGAAAGATTTAGAACGGGTAGGAATGTAAGGCAAACCTGGGTTAATTTTCCCTTCCCACAGAAACCTTAGAAAACTTAGGAGCGTTCTGACATTGAGTTTAGTCTGTGGTCTGATTGAAACGAGAGATCATGGTTCGGAATCTGCTCCTGGTGTGAGAGATGTGTGTTAGTAGTCAGCACAGCCTGCTGTAATCCTGCACAACGTGTCCATGTGCCTCTCATCCTCCCCCCCTCCCCCCCTCCCCCAGTCTCTGTCTCCTCTGCTGGCCCACTCTGATTGATTTCACATCTGTGAAATAAGGCTGAACTGAAAAGTCTAATTAGGTTTCACAATGTGCGAAAAGAGGAAAATGGCATCGACATATGGTAGCTGCTTCGCAATTAGTATCTGTAAACATGGATTAGACATTAAAAATAGGAGGCAGAGAAACTGCATGCTGTTTTTCGTCTATAATGCACCTTCTGTTCATAAAGTCAAAGAGGATATTTAGGGCTTGAGACGACAATGGATCTGCTTATCTGCACTGCCGCACGAGAAGGTGCAAGAGATTAATCTCTTCTCTCACTCGCTCTCTCCGGTAAATATGAACCATGAGACGGATGAGGCTAAAACCATATCTGAAAGAGACTCCAATACATAGCACGCTACGTGTTATTTTCAGCGACACCAATAAATTGGGCGTTTGATTGATAGAATTTGGCCCATCACTCTTGCCGAAGCATCACAGACAGCCATTAAAGCGCGAGGAGAGAGATGAATCACTTCAACCCTGAGTCAAGTGAAATTTACGGAGCAAACATCTTCAAATACCATTTTAATGGCTTACCTTTCCGAAGGACCTCACTCTCTCCTTAAGGCTATTTGGGCTGAGCCTTCAGAGGAGATGATTAAAAATTAATATTAGATCAGGATTGACGGCAAACACCATTTGATGTGTGCCACAAAGGGGTTATGGGTTTGTGGACTTTCTGATGGTTTCACGGGCACTGGAGACCCAAGTTTATACTTTTGTGGAAAATGCTGCAGGCGAGATGAGAGGCAAAGGGTTGGGGGTGTTGAAGGGAAGATGAGATGGTGGGTATGGCGGGGGGGTGATCGAGGCTGGAGTAAATTTTATTCTGCAGCTCTTACATCTCTTTTCTGCTGATTCTGTTGCAAAATTCATGATGTTTTTCTGTCTTTAGGAGCGCATCACTGGAAGATATGCTCCTAGGCAAGGCAAGCTTCAGCATACCTCCAGCTCTGCATCCTTCAGCTCCACCTCAGCCAGCCTGGGCAGCACCTTGGTCTGGGTCCGGATGTAGCACCGCTGGTGTTTTGCAAAGCGGATACCAGTGATTCCCTTCATAGCATACAATAAAGAAAGAAAAAGACAGGAGATTGTGAGATTGATTAATTTATATTTAAAACTCTTAACATTCTTACAATCTTGCCAAAAAGGGTTCTTTGCATGATGCCATTGAAAAACCATACTTCATACTTCCTAAAAAACCTTTCCATGGATAATTCTTAGAAAACCATGTAAAATATACTAGGAAAAACCCTTTACATTGGTGTAGAACATTTAATTTATGTGAAAGTTTAAACTTTTAAAAGGTTCTTCACACTCACACATCACATTTACAAAAAGATTCTCTTTTAGGAAACTGAAAGTGGTTCTTCTAAAGCATCACTCAAACCTTTTGTTGCACTTTTATTTAAAAGTGTATATTTATGTACAGAAATGTGTGAAAGACCACCATTCATTTATTTAATTTGCAGTCAAAGCAGCCATAAAGTAAAAGTGTTTCTCTTTTCTTTTTTGTGTCAAAAGAAAAACAGAAAACTTACATATATTAACCTAATATATTTTTTCAGTATTTAGTGTGAACCCCGCTTTGCCTATATTACTTGCTTTCAGTTTTTCATAGAAATCTGCAGGGATTTTTTTTTTCACACCTCCAAAGTTTAGTTTCAGAAGTTGGTTGCATTTTCTGCTTTATTAACTTTCTGATTCAATGATTTAGAGGTCTTGACTCTGGGGTGTGCAGTCCATTGTTCTGAGAACACCAGCAGTTTCACTCAGTAACGGCTTCTTACCAACTGCACATCCTTTCAGACCCATAGGTTTCTCACAGTGAAACAATGGAGAAAAGCCCCTGTGAATCTTTTCAGATCTGAAGCATGAGTGGAGCTTGATTTTCCTTCAAAGATGAAAGCTTTAAGTATTGTTTTTCTGATGGTGACAGTTTTAGTGGTCTACCAGGTCTTGCATGGTTGTTAGGAGTCCCATTTTTTCTATATCTTTGAACAATTGGTTGAACTTGAGCACCTGTGCAAGAAACTGAACTGTGCAAGGCCTGCTAGACAACGAAATAGTCACCTGTGGAAAACTTATAGCTTTCATCTTTGAGAGATAAATTTGTAATTGGGATTGCTTGGGTTATGATAAGCAGAAAATGCAACTACCTTCTTAAACGGAACTTGTTTACCACAAGCATGAAAAATATCCCTTCACATTTCTTTAAAAAAGGAAGCAAGTCTCCTAAAAGTGTAGCTGTAATAAAGGCTAAGATTGGACATACTGAGTACTGAAAAATCTGATTTAATATTTAATAGGTAAAGTTTCTGTGTGATTTAATGTTAAATATATGGTATGTTTTCTGCTTTTCTTCTGTGGCTCAAAATAAAAAGCTGTACGTTTTGACTTTGGAAGCGTAGACTTTTGCACAGTACTATTTTTTTAAAAATATTTTTTCCCAATGTTTTTGAGGGTGCCACAGTTCTTGAGAGCACTGCAGATCTATTTGTGTAGGAAACCATCCCTAAGGGACTCTTTTCAAAACGTAGTTTAATCGAAGTGAAGGACTATTTTTCGCTGTCAACAGGAGCTCCTCATTTATCCTGGACTGTGTGGACAGAGATGATATTTGTTCAGAAAAAAAAAAATAGATTTAGAGTTAAAAAAAACTCCACAGCTGACCCATTCAGACTGACTTTTCACAGCATCAAATATACTATTACATATGCTTTAGGTATTTCTTCTTGCTTCAAGACAGTCTGATGTTACTTTTCACAACTTATAGAGCAGGAATTAATGTATGCAAAATATTTATTGTTAAAAACATATCAGATCATGCAGTAATGCCATTTGATGGTTTTACAAGATGAGGATATAAAGCCTGCAGGTATAGCGAGCTAAGAAACAAATTTTAGTCCACCAAAAGCACGTTAAGGCTGCCGTATAGCAGCATAATCAAGGGCTGGTACAAGTGCAGAGGTTTTTCCTGAATACCAATCACAGTCTGTCATATAGACTGCATGGATTTTCAGTTGAAAGTGGAAAAAAAAACTATTGATGGTATCGTAAACAATGCTACATATCTTACATATTTTTGCTAGTCTATTACATTGCAATCTCTTCTCTGTACACTAGAGAAAAACAATATGCCATAGCTTATTGAAAACAGATTATGGAATGTTCATGATCTCAGGTTGGTCACATCCCTACATGGATTAGTGAACATGAACAAGTACATTTCTCTACTCTTATTACATGTGCTGCATCTAGTGCAAATTTGAACACATCTAAATTCATGACACAGAAATAGAAAATCGCTCTCCTCCTGCTGCCGCAGATATCTCTGTTAAACCATATGTTCACAGCATGATAAGAATGAACACACCACATATCCAGCTATGCTGATCAGTAAATGCAACAAAGTGTCATCAAATAACCACAAAAGTGTATTGTTTATGCCTAAAATTATTGTGATTAATTGCTCTTCAATCTTCACCAATGGCATGCTGCCTCACAGAGGAAGGGACAATCTTTTTGATGCTATGCAATGATTGCTGTGCCTGGTCAACCAGAAAATGAAGGAGAGACACTTCATTACAGGGATAAGAAATGGGGAAAGGATGTGACTTAAGGAACAGTGATAAAATTCATGTTTTCCATTAGCCCGATTAAATGTAGGCACGCACAGAAACAGCTTTTCTATTGAACAGTTGTGTGATAGGAGAGACAAGGCGTTCCGGTTGCTGGAGAAGGTTAAAGAGTGTGCCGTCCCAGTCACTACAATGCCACCTGCACGGTCCCCCTGCTCGCCTGTCACTGCCAGCTCAGGTGTCGGCCAGAGAGAAAACAAACACTCAGCGGTGGCTTCCCAAACACAGCTGACATTCTGCACTGAGAAGAATGTTCAATGGGGGAAATGGTATTGCAGTGCATTGCAGAATTATTGGCACCCTCTGTAAAGATGAGCAAAAGAGGCTACAAAATGTATACTGTTTATCAACTTGATCTCAAAAATACAAGAAAACTTAACCTTTTAGTGGTGTGAAATTAATGAAAGAAAAAGAAATTTCAGTTCTCTTAAAAGAACTGCCAAGAAGTATTATTTGCATCATAGAAAAACAAAATTTAGTTTCCTAAAATCCTTTCAATGGATGGTTTTTCAGAGAGCCATTTTTAAAATGACTTGTAAGGGTGAAGAATCTCCACATGATGTGAAGGTACTACTAAAAACCATTAAATTACTATAAAACCTTTACATTTACATATTCAGGAGACAAGACATGGTGTACAAATATAAAAATATGGTGCTGCTGCTAATCACCTCGTACATGAAATAATACTATTAAAGTCTGAGGCGTCGGGTCTGATCTCCGTGTGAGTTTTTTGGACCATGTCCTACATGTACAGACTCACAAAAAAGTTCTCAATGTTTAGGTTTCAAATGCAAAATCAACATTATACTGAAGAAGATATGATGACAACAATAGACAATTCACTCACATCCTTAGAAGACATGTCCTTCACTGAGTTTTGACTGAGTTTTCATTGAATTCTTATTCATTGCGGTCACAATCATCAGATTCATCCACTTTGGGAAGGGGTCCAAAGCACAACCAACATTACAAAACATTCTTCTGCACTGCTAAGTGTAATACCAAATTAATTTGTCCACTCTTTACTTTTGTGCACTTCACTGCCAATTTAACTCCTCCATCCTTCCAATCTTAAAACCAGTGGTTTACAGCTGTGTCTTCCCAACAAAATGTGTTCTCAAAAGAGTCAATAACATTAGGTTACCAACATTCACACAAGCAACTACCCAAGCCTTAGCTGCCCTGTACATTTCTTTCTCATTTGCACTAAAAAAGGCTAAAGAAGATGTTTCTGAGAAGATCAGATAGAAGATAATCCACTTACTTAAAGAAGGAGTCAGATGAATTATCATTATGAATCATTAAAAGCAGAAAATGCAACCAACTTCTAAGACTTAGGGTTGAAAGGTGAAGCTGCAGCTGTAATAAAGGCAAACAGTAGACACAGTAAATACTGAAAAGAATGCATTATACACATTTGTTTGTGGACACCTCTTCATATTAGTAAACTCAGCAGCATTAACTACTGACACAGTAGTTCAAATGTACATTGTGTTGTCTCCATAGAAAAGCATTGACAATAGAAGAGGATGCTTTGGAGCAGCTGCACATGAGCCTAAGATCACCATGTACAATGCTGAGTGTAGGCTAGAGGGGTATGAAGCCCCCCAGCATTGAGCTGTGGAGCAGTGGAACTGCGTTTTCTAGAGTGATGGAGTTGGAGAGGCGTTTGTAATCCAGAACTAATCATCCAACATAAATACCTGATCTCTCTAGTGCTCCTGCTGCTGAATGCAGTCAGATCCTCACAGCAAAGTTCCAACATCTAGTGTAAAGCCTTCCCCGAAGAGTAGAGTTACTGCAGCAGAGGGGGACAAACTCCTTTTTAATACTCTTGATTTTGGAAGAAACATTAGGTGAGCAGGTGTCCACAAAAATTTGGCCAAATAGTGTATTTGGTTATTGAGTCTTCTGTGCAATTTTCTGTTAAGCATGCATTTTCTGCTTTTTTCTGATGCTGAAAAATGAATAATTTGTATTTAATGGCAGTTTTGACTGGAAATTAAATAAATGAGTGGGCTTTTGCACAGAACTATTTTCTCAAAAGCACATTTTTTGCTCATTTTTCCAGAGGGTGTCAACAGTTCTTAGGATCGCTGCAGATCCAGCATAAACTCTGATCTGTGTAGGAAACCATCCCTAAGGGATAGTTTTCAGAACATAGTTTAATCATAGTGAAGACCTATTTTACACTGTCAACAGTAGCTCCTCATTTGTGCTGGACCTGGTGGACATGTTTGACATTTGTTCAGAAGAAAAACCAGATGTTATAGCACTTAGATTTTACATATTTACTATTTTGAGTTATAGAACCAGGCTCCACTGCCGACACGTTCAGGCTGACTTTTCTCAACATCAAATGTGCTCTTACATATGCTTTATGCATTTCTTCTTGCCTCGACACAGTCGAGCAGGAATATTTCTAGTTTTTTGAAGAAGTAGCTTTCAGGTAGCTTTTTTTTTACAGGGCTTTGCAGAAAAATAGCCAAGATGGCCACATTCTGCGCCATCTATATGGCCTTCCTTTTTACTCTTTAGTCATTCTGTGCTTTCCTGTGCAATTTTACTGCTTCTCTTTGAGAAAAACTCTTTGAGAAATGCGCTTAGAGATGATTCAGTTATAAAACATTTGCTGAAGTATGATAAAAATTCACCCAATAATGTGTAATTAATGATATACTGTGTCATATATGATGTTTTTTCATTATGTTCCTAGAGACCAAGTGTCCATAGGGATTTTATCTTTGCTTCAGATGGTGTTTCTCCTGCATCCTAAGCCCCTGTGCACTGTCTTTGTTGTTTTTAAGGTGGCATTACACTGTTAGAAATAAAGGTGCTTTGCAGGTACACTTTTTGTTCATCAAGGTACAAACAATGTAAATGTTCCCTCAAAGGTACAACAGTGATTTTAAGGTCCAATTGTGGAACTTAAATAAGTTTTTCTCAGTGGAAAACTACATGTTTGTATCTTTTTATTACCTAATGTTTTAAAACAGAACAATAAAATAAAAAGCCTGGAGATGAGACGGGGTGTGTGGAGTCAATACAACTTAGAAAATATAATTTCAATGGATTATGGTACAATTATGTTCCCTGACTAAAGGTACTGAGAGGGACCCTTGAAGGTACCACCCCAGTGACAAGAGGGGTGCTGCCCTCACAGAGAGTGTACTGTGTGTCATGACTTGAAACATCCTTTATTCAAAATACTCCCTTCTGTGGGAATGCTCCAACCACTAAAGTAAATGATTCAGAAACTAAATGTTTGTATTGTTGTGCTTTTCTTTTTGGACAATTGGTTAATACTCAGATATTGGTTGTAAAATGTTAAGCAAACTTCTGAAAACAAAATGAAAATGCTAGATTGTGGGACAGTACTTACATTCTGGAAATCGTGGACCTCCAGGACCTCATCAGTGCCATTGCCCACTCTGAATATCTCCATGTGTTCAGCAGGGTCGATCTCCATCATGCTCTCAGTCTCCACACCATCTAAAACAGCCATGTACTTGTGGTCATACACCTGAAAAACACATACATTGTTCAGAATTAGAAAAAGGCAAGACATTTATGTTCAAGGCAATAAGTTGCTGTATAATGAAGAACAACCAAATTTCAGTATGATTCAGTAAGACATCAGTGACTTTTAACATGGCACTGTCACAGGATGCCTCCTTTGCCACAAGTCAATTTGTGGAATTTCTGTCCTGCTAGATCTGCCCCAGTCAACTGTAAGTGCTATTATTTTGTAATTGAAGCGTCTAGGAGCAACCGCAGTTCAACCATGAACTGGTAGACTACACAAACTCGGAGAACGAGGTTGTTTTGTGCTGAGGTGTGTAGCACCTATCCTCTGTTGCATTACTCACTACAGAATTACAACCCGCCTCTGGAAGCAACGTCAGCAAAAGAACTGTGCATCAGGAGCTTAATGGGTTTCAATGGCTGAGCAGCTGCACACAGGCCTAAGATCAAAATGCGCAATGCCAATCATCGACTGGAGTGGTGTTAAGCATGCAGCCACTGGACTATCTGGCAGTCTGATGGACAAATCTGGGTTTTGTGGATGCCAGGAGGATGCTAGCTACTGCCACCTGCTGGAATGCACAGTGCCAACAGTAAAGTTTGGTGGAGGACGAATAATGACCTAAGGCTGTTTCTCAGGATTTGGGCTAGGCCCCTTAGTTGCATTGAAGGGTAATGTTAATGCTACAACATACAAAGACATTTTAGACAGTTATGTTTCCAACTTTTTGGCAACAGCTTGGGGGAGTCCTTCTCCTTTTCCAGCATGACTGTGCCCCTGTGCACAAAGTGAGCTCCATAAAGACATGGTTTAGTGGGTTTGGTGTGAGTAACTCCAATGGCCTGCACAGAGCCCTGACCTCAACCCCACTGCACACTTCTGGGATGAATTGGAATGGTGATTATGAGTCAGGCCTTCACATTCAACATCAGTTCCTGACCTGTCCAAGGGGTGTCCAATCTTATCCACAAAGGGCCGGTGTGGCTGCAGGTTTTCACTCCAACAAGCTGGAGCACACATGATTCTACTTTAATCAGCTGGTCTTAGTCTTCAAATATTTCATCTGGTGACCTCCTGCTTTGCTGGAGTGAAAACCTGCAGCCACACCAGCCCTCTGCATATGAGATTGGACACCCTGATATATATGCAATACAACCAAACACACACAATTTGTAAAATGCAAAAGAAGTCAGAAACTAAAGTTCTGTTATAGAAGTTGGTTGCATTTTCTAGTTTTCATGATCCAAATAATCTCAAACACATTCAGTGATGTGGTCTGAGCTCTGGCGTGGCCAGTCCATTGTTCTGAGAACACCAACAGTTTCTTCCTTTAATTTTCAAATTTCCTTTTCTTAATAACAGAATCCTTTCAGAGCCGTTGAGTTGTCTTCTCACAGTAGCAGGATGGACAAAAACACATGGATTTTTTTCAGATCTGAAGCAACAATTGAGCTTGATTTTGTCTGAAAGACAAACGTTTTAAGTACTGTTCATCTGATGGTGACAGTATTGGTCCTCTCCCAGGTCTTGGATGGTTTTTGGGAGTCCCATCTTCTCTGTATCTTTTAATAAAATCCTGTTTTTTCTGCTGATTTTACTTTGACTTGTCCCTTCCTTATGTAACTGGATTACCTTATATCTAATCTTTGTATTAATTATCTAATTATCTTTTACTTAATGGTCATTTTGACTGGAAATAAATAAATAATGGGGTGTCTGAGCTTACTTTGCACTGCTCTGTATATAGAAATTTACTTGGGGGGGGGGGTGGTCTATAGATAAGTTATCAAGTGACAAACTTACAAAAGCAATAGCAAAGAGGAGAGCCACATTTATGCTTGAGAGCCTTCGTAACTGTAATCTGAGGAAGTTTGTTTTGTTCACTTATATAACTATATGAAATCAAAGGAAATAAGAAAATACAATGCTTTTTTTAATGGAAATGTTTTGAAATGTGCTACACAGCACCTTTGAGAAGCTAACTTGAGAAGCTATCAAAAAGCACCAATATCAAGAGTTTTGGGGTAGCTGCATTTATCAACAGATTCAAAACAGGGTTGTACACATAAAACAGTAAATCTAATCACAATGAATGTTATTTGTTTTCGATAGTTTAAATGGTGTTGCTTTTAGCAACTTATATCTTCTGCTCTTAGCCACATGTACTGATACCCTGGCTACAGAAAGGTTTCAAACCCAAAAGTAAAAAAAATGTTGGTGCAGTAGTATTATAGCTATAACCAACCTTCAACATGACCCTCACAACACAAACCTTCATGCCAATACAATAGTAAATAAAACTTGTATATAAACTTTTATGATATTTTATATTTATACTTTGCTGCTTTTTCAAAGGAACCTGCATTTTGTGTTTTGTGTTCTTATGGGGATCAGCAAAATATTTCCTAAGTATTTTCTTATCTTTCTATTTTTGCATTAAAATACAGTCCACACACCATACACAGAGATCAGTTCATATACCCTCTCTGTCTCTCACTCATTCTGTATATTAATGTAATATTCACTAATATAATGGCCCAAACAGAGGAGAGATACTGTGCAAATGTGTAAATTCTATAAAAACAGAGTGAGGCGAAATTCAAAATGTTGCAAAATGGCAAAAAATTTAAAACCATTTAAAACAGCTAAGGTGTTATTGATGCAGATAGGGTGATAACTGGATTAAATCAGGGTTTTCAGGACCACTTTAAGCTGCAAAGTGTTTATTTCTGTTGATGTGCTTTTGAAATTACATAAACCAAACACAGAGTAAAAGCATCAACTAATCTTTGTCATTGATGCTTTATTTATTGATGCTGTAGTGTGTGTGGTATGCAGAGCATTTTCCAAGGATTTGTGTAACTGGCAGAGATGAATATTGCATTTGCAAGATCAGATTAAAGTATTGAAATAACCATTACATTCATTTCAGCTTAATTGTATTTATAGTGTGCTTTGTACAACAGACATCATCACCTGTAATGAGGAAGCTGAAGGCGAGACTGGAAGGAAAAATGACCTAAGAGTCCAAGGAAGCATCATTGCAAATGAAAAATGGAAATGCTTTTTTTTGCCCTTTGTTCACTTTCCATACCTTCTTGAACACACTTTGCATCTCTAATTTGAGAAGATCACAGGAAGAGGGCAGAGCGAGGGGTCATTATGGGGTCAACTATAGTTCGGCATAATAATGGTGGACGTGTTAAATAATTAGGAGTAACTGCATTTGCTGTAATTCATTGTTAATCATTTCTCATTCCTAACCTATTGAAACAAGCACAGGGATTCTTTTGAAAGTGCTTATGCTTTCATTTGATGCCACCAAGCCCCGATCATCATATCATAAGACCCTGGACACAAATGTTTGGTGGCCCCCTGTCTGGAACCATATGTTATAAGAGATGTGTGCGCACATTAACCGTAGTGTTGGGCAGCGTCTTTTTTCTTCTGAAAATGTTTTTGAATGTTCTGACCAAGCTGTGGCTTATAGCAAAGCAAATGAAATCATCATTATTATTCTCTCTCCAACCCCCCATCCATACTCCCTCACACTGCTTGAAGCCTGTGTATGTCTATACTGCATTGTGAATTTAGAATATATTATCTTCTGATTCAGTAAGCTTAATATGGAGGAATCTGATCTAAGATCAGTCTGGCTTTGTGAATTCCAGTTGGTGTTGTCTGAAATGGCACAAATTTTAAGAATATTACATTATTTACACATTTTTGACTTTAAACCTAAAAAAAATCTCTGAAAATGTATTTAATTTAGAATTTTTACAGGTGCACACCATGGAAGGGATCCCTTCAATTCATTTTCTACATCAAATACATTTTATTAATATTTATTCAAGATTGGAAAAAAGTCATGTCACTGGCCCTTATACAGAATGCAAATGGAATGCAAATGGATGTATTGTGTAATTACACATTATAACTGATTACATACAAATAACTAATACATTACACATAAGTTAGCTTGGACAACATAGCAAAACAAATATATGACTAAAGTTTAACTTCTCCAGAGGTAATAATAAAAAGAACATTTTCTTAATTCTCTTAAATACTAAAACTTTAGGTAATTAATTACCTGTAACTCATTATTACCTCTGCTAACTGGCCTGTCTGGAGCATTATTAATACATTCATCCAGCATGAGGGCCTAACAATTAAATGAAAGCCCACTTTATGAAGCTTCCCTTGTTTCTCTTGTTCTCTTGCTCAGCCTCTCTTTCTCTTTCCCTCTCTCTCTGTCTATCTCTCTCTCTTCCACGTTGTCCTTCCCTGTGCAAAGGCACTGTTTTTGTGTGCTCCAGCTGACCAGGACCCTGGATAATTCTTTCCTCACCAGCTTTCGACTCTACATTAGCAGCCTGAATGCGAGTTAAAGGAGCTTGATATTGTAAAAAAAATAAGGATAATGAAATTTAATTAGCTGTCCGTGTGACTGCTGCTGAGAGGCTCATGAGGGGCAGCAGTTCAGACAAATAACTTGGAGAGATTTTTTCATTAGTGCTCGTGACTATGTTCATCATAAGGATACCTTGAGTAATGTATTGATTAATGCACTACCATGTTTGCTATTCAAATACCAGAAGCTCACCAGGCCAAAGGTGCTGATGCTGTTTGCCGTAATGAGTTTGAATCAACAGTCTTTTATTTAATCAGCGGCATGCACAATGATAAGAAATGTCCATCCATTAGACAAATTCTGATTCTAATTTATTTATTTTTAGGGCATTTCAACAGCTATCTGGTTGACACTTCTCTTGATTTACCCTAAAGACTGTTTTTGCATCATGAAAATAATATTTTTCTTCTTCTAATTAATATAATGAACATTCAAAGAAATAGAAAATATAATCTATTGCTTTTACACAACAGTTTTGCAAAACAAATAAAAAGCAAAGCAAAGAAGCTCCAAATATCCTACCAAATGTGCTTTAAAATGGACAATTCCTTCCACCAAAAAGTTGTGCAGTAAATTTGGTTTA